TGTGTGTGTGTGTGTGTGTGTGTGTGTGTGTGTGTGTGTGTGTGTGTCCTTTTGTGCAACTAGAAGTGGATGTGACATCATCTACAGAGGGAAAGATGTCTAGGGCAGTATCTAAGCATCTGAAGGTTTGAAGACTGAGCTTTACTTTTTGTGGTTTTAGGAGACCCGTGTACAGTGTCTTCTCAGTTGGAGTTGGAAGAGGCTTTCAGGCTGTATGAGCTGAACAAAGATTCTGAACTCTTGATCCATGGTAAGAGAGACATCACTTGACTCCCACAGCTCTAATCTAAACATAACTCTGGCTGTTGTTGACCATTTAAAGACAGTCTAGATGTCATTTATTATGTGTCCCCTCATCCCTATGTAGTTCTCCTTCAGATTCTTTCTCCTGTAGTAGAGCAGATAAAACAATCATGCTTCTTATAGTCTAGGAGAAATATTTATGTAGGAGAAATGCTTATCTGTGTGTAGTCTTTTAGGATACTAAAATGTGATCTCTCATTGTTTCACAACTTAAGACAGTCCTGCACAGCTTTAGAAGTCTTATTTGGGGTGGGGGCAGTGGCTACCCTTTTCTGGTGTAAAATTTTAAAATGTTAAGAGAAATGATTAGTTATGCCAGCAAGTAGCACCTGCCTGTTACCCTACAGCTTGAGAGGCAGAGCCAAGATGGCCCACGGCAGCCTGATGGACATAGAGAGCCCATGTCTGAAACAAGCGGGAGCTGAGATTTAAACTCAGTTGTAGAGTGCTTTCCTGGCATGGTGCTAGGACTGATAACCTGTTTCTGTTCTGGGTACTCTTCTTCATTGTGGCCCCACAGAGTACATTAGCTAATAAGATGTTCTTCTTTATGAAATGGTTTATTTGGAAATTTCCAGCCAGGAATATATGCTTATGCTTGGGATTGGTACTATTCCTGGTATTAATTCATTCTCTAATCGACTGCACATCTTTTAAAAACTCTGATTTTTGTCATTTAATTCTTTGTCATACAAAAGTTCTATGAGAATTTAAAATATAGTAGTTTCTTTAATGATCAGAATTTTTTTTCACAGTATTGAAAAGGAAGACGTCAAAGTATCTTTATTTGTCGATTAAATGATTCTGTGCATGAAGCACCATAAACTCCACCAGAAAACTCTTACAGTTGATAAATACATTCATCAAAGTAGTAGTATACAATACTAACAAGAATCAGCAGCCCTCCTATAGGCCAGCAACAACAAGTATAGGAAAATAATGATCAGGGAACACAAGCCCATTTTAAAAAGCTTCAAAAATACTTTGGAATAAGTATAAACAAATAATTGAAAGACTTTTACAATGCAAAATTTAAGAAACTGAGAAAAGAAATTGAAGAAAATACGAAAGGATGGAAAGATTTCTCATGCTCGTAGGTTGATAGTATTAACATTGTAAATGTGGCCATCCTACCAAAAGCGGTCTCTAGATTCAACCCAACCTACATATGAATTCCAATGAAAATTTTTCTCAGAAATTGAAAAAAAAATTCTTAAATTTCATTTGAAAACAGCAAGGAATCAGAATAGCAAAAACAACCCTGAGCAACAAACACTAACAGAGGCATCACCATCCCTAGTTTCAAATTATACTACAAAGCTTCAGTAATAAAAATATTGGTATTACCATAAAAACAAGCACAGTGATAAACACAATTTTTATTTAAGGACCACACTATATAAGCCCACACTATTTATTATAGCCTCCTAATTTTTCACAGAGTGGTTAAGAATACATATTAGAAGGTAGCATCTTATAACAACTTGCTGGTCAGATTGGGTAATAACGTGTAGAAGAACAAGGCTAGATGATCTCATCTGTACCAAACTCAACTCTAAATGCATCAAAGACTTTAAATCTTGATATGGGACAAGACTTCTCAGTGATGCAACTGCTTTGAGTTTCTCCCTGATCCTGTAACCCATCACCCAAGTACATAAACTCTATAAACTGATGGTCCTAGCCCGCCCAAAGGAAAAAAAAACAACAAAATAAAACAAAACAAATGAATAAACAAACAAACAAACCTAGCCCAATTAGACAAAAGGAGACTCAAAGAAACCCTAAGTAACTCAGGCTATTGCAAAGGCTGTTGATTGTTCTCTAAGGCACTACTGCTGAAGATGACAGCAACACTTATGTATCTCAGTGAACTGGTGCCTACCTGCAGCATTCACCCCTACTGCCTAGTGTTCATGGACCAGAATTTTTAAAAGTGATCATTCACAAGGATCTAGAATTAGTAATTCAAACTTCGAATGTGTTACCTATAGACACATTTATTTTCACAGAAACTTACTTTTAAAAACAAAACAAAAAACAACAAAACAAAAAACCAGAGAGCCTTTAGTAGACTAATACCAGCCACATGGTGCCTCCGGTGTCTCAGGGCACTTGATATTTGTGTTAATTTTAATTTCATATGGTTTGTATTTTATAAATATGCTGTTAATTAATTTCAGTTTATTTTCTTTCAGTATTTCCATGTGTACCAGAGCGTCCTGGAATGCCTTGCCCAGGGGAAGACAGTAAGTGTTTTACTGCTCTGCACACTTGAAGAGTTGCTCACAGTAAAAAAATACGATTTTTGTTTTGTTTTTTGACACAAGGTTTTTGGCTGTCTTGGAACTCTCTTTCTAAGACCAGGCTGGCCTCCAACTCTGAGATCTACCTGCCTCAGCCTCCTAAGTGCTAGGATTAAACACGTGTACTTCCATGCCTGACTTAAGAAATAGAACTTTTAGTTTGTTAGATTTATTCTGTGTCTTCACTCTAACTTAAAGTATATTACAACTGCCTAAGCTATGCTTTTGATAAACGGAACTCACCTGGCTATAGCTTACCTGATGGTCTGTTCTTGTATAGAAGGGCATGTGACTCGGTACTCCATTTTTAATAGGGTTATTTAATCTAGAGTCTAATTTCTTGAGTTCTTTGTATATATTGGACATTAGCCCTCTATCAGATGTAGTATTGGTAAAGATCTTTTCTCAATCTGTTGGTTGCCGTTTTGTCCTATTGACAGTGTCCTTTGCCTTACAGAAGCTTTGCAATTTTATGAGTTCCCATTTGTCAATTCTTGATCTTAGAGCATAGGCCATTGCTGTTCTGTTCAGGAACTTTCCCCTTGTGCCCAGGTATTTGAGGCTCTTCCCCACCTTCTCTTCTATTAGTTTCAGTATATCTGGTTTTATGTGAAGGTCCTTTATTCACTTAGACTTGAGCTTTGTACAAGGGGATAAGAATGGATCAATTTGCATTCTTCTACATGTTGTCCTCCAGTTGAACCAGCACCATTTGTTGAAAATGCTGTCCTTTTTCCACTGGATGGTTTTAGCTCCTTTGTCAAAGATCAAGTGACCATAGGTGTGTGGGTTCATTTCTGGGTCTCCAATTCTATTCTATTGATCTTCCTGCCTATCTCTGTACCAATACCATGGAGTTTTTGTCACTATTGCTCTGTAGTACACCTTGAGGTCAGGTATGGTGATTCCCCGAGAAGTAAGTTCTTTTATTGTTGAGAATAGTTTTTGTTATCCTGGAATTCTCAACTGAGGAAACTCAAATGGCCAAGAAGCACCTAAAGAAGTGTTCAACATCCTTAGTCATCAGGGAAATGTAAATCAAAACAACCCTGAGATTCCACCTCACGTCAGTCAGGATGAATGGCTAAGATCAAAAACTCAGGTGATAGTAGATGCTGGCGAGGATGTGGAGAAAGAGGAACACTCCTCCATTGTTGGTGGGACTGCAAGATGGCACAACCACTCTGGAAATCAGTCTGGTGGTTCCTCAGAAAATTGGACATAGCATTACCTGAGGACCCAGCTATACCATTCCTGGGCATATACCCAGAAGATGCTCCAACATATAACAAGGACATATGCTCCACCATGTTCATAGCCCCCTTATTTATAATAGCCAGAAACTGGAAAGAACCCAGATGTCCTTCAGCAGGGGAATGGATACAGAAAATGTGGTACATTTACACAATGGAGTATTACTCAGCTATTAAAAACAATGAATTTGAGAAATTTTTAGGCACATGGATAGAACTAGAAAGTATTCTGAGTGAGGTAACCCAATCACAAAAGAACACACATGGTATGCACTCACTGATAATTGGATATTAGCCCAAAAGCTTGTCATACCCAAGATGCAACTCACAGACCACATGAAGCTTATGAAGAGTCCTTCTTAGAAGAGTAACAAAATACTCAAGGGAGCAAATATGGAGACAAAGTGTGGGACAGAAACTGAAAAAGGGGCCGTCTGGAGACCTTTCCACCTGGGTATCCATCCTATGTGGAGTCACCAAAGGCAGATGCTGATGTGGATGTCAGGAAGTGCGTGCTGACAGGAGCCTGATATAGCTGTCTCCTTAGAGGTCTGCCAGAGTCTGACATATTCAGAGGCGGATGCTCACAGCTAACCATTGGACTGATCAAGGGATTCCTAATGGAGAAGTTAGAGAGAAGACTGAAGGAGCTGAAAGGGTTTGCGGGCCCCATGAGGAGAGCAACAATACCAACCAACCAGAGCTCCTAGGGTCTAAACCACCAGCCTGGGAGCACATAGGGAGGGACCCATGGCTCCAGCTGTATATATAAGGGAGGATGGCCTTGTGGGGATAGGTGAGATAGGGTATCCTTGCTCCCATGAAGGCTGGACGCTGAGTGTGAGGGAATTCGAGGACGGGGAGGTAGGAGTGGGTGGGTGGGTAGGGGCACACCCTCATAGAAGCAGGTGGAAGGGAGATGGGATAGGGGGACTCTGGGAGGGGAATGAGGAAAGGGGATGACATCTGAAATGTAAATAAAGTATCCAATAAAAAGGGGGGGGCATGTGGCTTCGTGTTTTTAAATTTTGGGTGTTTCCAAATCTGTGGAAATTTTGCGACATCTTTGAAAAAAAAGGATACCTACATATCTCTTGTCCAGATTTAACAGTACTCCCTTAGCATTTTCCGCATGCCTGTCTGTACACATTTGCATGTGTTCTAACTCTCCTGACTCACTAGTACAGCATTACTCGGTCACTGTCTGTCTACGCTTCCTGTATCATGTGAAGTAATGGACCCAACACTCCGTTCTAGGCGCCATTGTAGACGCCACATTGTTAGCAGTTGGTGTGAAATCTCATTTTCATTACGGTTTCAGCACATATCCAGGACTTAAGAAGGAAAAAGAGTAAATGCTTTGCTTCAAATCACATGAAATTTCCAAGCATAAAATTTTAATTCTGCTGGTTCTCATGGTAAGAGAGTGAGAGCCATGCTGGCTGTCTTACAGAGCTGCTGCGACAGTGGTTGTCTTCTGTGACAGATGATGTTGTACCATAGCCTGTCCAGAGTTCCCTGTCCATCCCCATCCATTTTAGGTTTATGGTATCCTTTCGAGAGTAAAATGTAGTTCCTGGGCTTCCCACTGTGCTGCACCCTCTTTACCTTTTGAAATGTAGTGGTGGAGGTCTGGTGCCACCGTTTGCCCACAACGTAAATATTAAACTGGAGTACAGAGGAAAATTGATAACTATGACTGTGGCCTCTTGGTCATTTAAACTCCTAGACAGCAGTGAAATATTTAAATTTGAGGTACATAAGCTATTTCATAAGCCTGTGTGGTGAGCAAAAATGTGCTGGCTCTTGGTAGGAAATGTTGGTTTTGCACAGAGTATTAAGTGTTAGCAGTTTTGCACAAGGCTTCTACAAGCGTTCAAGGGTTTGTTCCCCAGCTCTGCAATGAGAAAAAAAATATTTCTAAAAGCATTGTAGCTGGGACTTTCTACTTTAACTTGAAATGGTAAATTCAGTGCTACATCTGCTTTAATGTAGTTTAGAAATGTCCCCTCCTATTACCTACCACTGAGGAATGTGCACATTACAGTGTCTCCAATGTCTAGTCGACAGTACATGTCACAGTGTTTGATAGCCAGATTACAAATGGATTAGATTTGATTATTTAGAACCTCTGCCTATGCGTTGTAGGAATGAGACATGGCTCAGAGGTTAAGAGCCCTTGTTGCTCTTCCAGAGGACCCATGTGGTTCACAGCTATTTGTAACTCTAGTTCCAGGGGATCCGACTTCTCCTCCGTGCCTTCATAGTGCTAGTCATACGCATGGTACACTTACGCACATCCAGACAAAGCACTAATACACATAAGAAATAAACAGGAATAGTAACATTCATATAAAACCCCAGGAGTGGGTGAGGCCTATGGCTGAGAGGTAGAATGCTTATGTAACTCATGTGAGGTCTTGGGTTCAACACCTAGTATTATACCAGAAACGAACCAAAAAGGATAAAAGTTTGTTGTAGATAAAGTTATGTAAAATATCACTTACAAATAACTCACATGAAGTAAAATGTACCTCACTACTTGTAAAGGTAATTATCTGTAGTAGGTGCTCACATTGGGACATTTGTGTGCCTCTTTGATATAATACCAGAAGAAAAACATAACTATCTTGCTATTTATAGTTTTAAGATTTATTTTATTTTATTTTATTTTAATTTTTATTTTTATTTTTTTGGTTTTTCGAGACAGGGTTTCTCTGTATAGCCCTGGCTGTCCTGGAACTCACTCTGTAGACCAGGCTGGCCTCTGACTCAGAAATCCACCTGCCTCTGCCTCCCAAGTGCTGGGATTAAAGGTGTGCGCCACCACCGGCCGGCTGATTTATTTTATTTTTAATTGTGTGTACATGTGTGCACAGATCAGTGCCTGAGAATTTGAGAACATCAGATCTCCAGTCTCCCTCCTCTGCGTGCTGTAACTGGAGTTACAGACACTGTGAACTGCTTTTGACTAGGTTCTAGGAACCAAACTCAGGTCCTCTGCCCCAGGAGAGCTTAACAGCAGAGGTATTTCTCTAGCCCCTCTTCCCTTTAAAGGTAGCTCTGTATTACTTTTGCCAAAAGTATTTAGCACTGACTCCGATCACCAAGAGACAGACAAACCTGGACATGGGACATAAACACACTGCCTAAGGCGTGAAGAAGACAGATTAGAGCGAGTGCTTTGATTATATGGAGACCAGCCAACCGGACAGACAGACAGACAGATGAGAGACCATGGGCAGTGACTTGCTCCTGATTAGGAAATGGCAGCTTTGAGAGACACTTTTGGAACAGCTAAACTTTATGTATGAGCTTTATATTGAGTGATACTAAAGTTAATTTTCTAAGACACAGCAGTTACGTTTGTTATTGAGGGTGGCTAGAGTGAATGCCCTGAGATCTTACTTTCAAGTCATTCGGAGGAAAAAGGGACTTTTGTTGGTCTTTATTCATATTTGTTTGTTGAGAAGTTGGATAGACAGAAGAATAGTAGCTGTAAGATCAGATGACGGGTGCTAGCAGGCATTCCCTCCTTCAGCTTGTTTCTGTTTTTCTCAAACATTAAAGGGAAGTCTCTAGAAGAGAAGGGATACTAATTGCTCTCATCCAGTCCTTTAGCAAACCTGTTTTTCAGTTTCAGTTTCTAGTTTGCATCTCTATTTTTTTTTCCCAGCAATAAGTGTTATGGAAAACTCAGGTTTAATTAGGTGGCTTTTATTCAGACTTTCTCTTTTTAAACTTTAAATCTCTCTTCAGAATCCATTTACCGCAGAGGGGCACGCCGGTGGAGAAAGCTGTATTGTGCAAATGGCCACACTTTTCAAGCCAAACGCTTCAACAGGGTAATCTTATTTTATTGGATTCTAATATTTGGAAACATCTATTTTTATTTTTATTTTCCTTTCTATGAGAGATAGTTTGTTATTAAGTCTTGATAGTCCTTTTAACAGAAGTAAGCAACAAGGCCTTGGTGCCCCATGCTGTGGGGCCTTGTACCCCATGCTGTGGGCCCTTGCACCCCATGCTGTGAGGCCTTGCACCCCCTGCTGTGGCAACACCTCCAGTTTTCACAGCCCTTCCTCTCAGTGCCCAGCACTCTGTTGCACTCACAGCCTTCCCTCTAAAAATGTCTCAGGTTTCTTGAAAAAGGTCAGGACCTTTTAAAATTCTATGAATGAATGTCATTAGTCTTAGGTTAAACTCCTAATGTCTGCTCCTTATTGTCAAATGAGTCTGAAAAAAAAATGTAGGTTTTTGGAATTACAAGAAAATTATGTTTAAATACATTCAAAACAGGCAGAAATTATCAAAGTTTATTGTGTAAGCCCTGGAATCTCACTGTTTAGAACAATGATAGTAGCAAACACTTGGCCAGCTCTTATTATGTATCTGTCAGTTTTCTGAGGGCTTTACCTGTGTTTGTTCACTAAATTCTTGCAACAACCCTGTGACATAGGTACTATATATTCCCATTTTATCGATGAGAATAATGAAGTTGAGTCCTGTCTTAGATGTTTCAGCCACTAAGTGCGAAGGTGGGATTTGAGAACAGTCTGCTGACATAGCCTGTGTCTACTACCCCAACCCCAGCCCTTTTCTGACGCAGGTTCTTACTGTGTTACTGCAGTTCTAAGTATATAGCTGGAGTTAGCCTAAAACTCATGACAATCCCTCCTGTACCTCAGTGCTGGGAGTGCCTGGCTTAACTTCTTTGATAACCATACATTTATGGATTTAATTTCTACAATTAACACCATGTCCTAAACTCATCAGTGTAATACAGATGAATGCCTAGGGTCCCCACCTCACTACGGCTTGGGGCACCAAGCTCTCTAGGAGAGCAGGGCTTTGGCTTGCTCTCTGCTATGAGGCTGCCTGCTTTATTAGCCACCTTTTTCTGTGTTCATCACTAGGACATTTTTGTGAAGATGAGAATTTTTTGAGTTTGACATTGAAAGCAGCATGGTTATATATTCACTATCTCTTTAAAACCTAGTCTTGTTTATTTTTCACTGGTCTTCAAAAGCCTTTGAAGAAAAATTATACGTGAGGAAATTTTGTTTTGTTTGATTTTTGCCATAGGCTGACAACTGATGTCATGATGAGAGGGATTTAATTAGAAAAGAAAAGCCACTTGTTTTTAAATGTCTTAGGTTTGTTTGGCTGTTTTGAGACCAAGTCTCACTCTATAGCATTGACAGGCCTGGAAGTCACTATGTAGACCAGGCTGGCCTTGAACTCTGTATGCCTCTGCTTCATGAATGCTGGGATTAAAAAGCATAATGAGTAAACTGTTGGGAAATAACTGGGAGACAGGTTATGAAACCCTGGTGTGCCTGGAACTCCCAGTAATCCACCTGCCTCCGCCTCCTGAGTGCTGGGACTGAAGGTGAGGGCCAACACACCTGGCTGTGATAAAGTCATCTTGAATTTACTCTCTGCAGCGCGCCCACTGTGCCATCTGCACAGACAGAATCTGGGGGCTTGGACGACAAGGATATAAGTGCATCAACTGCAAACTGTTGGTTCATAAGAAGTGCCACAAGCTGGTCACAATTGAGTGTGGGCGGCATTCTTTGCCACCGGTAAGGCATGGGGCTTTTGTTTGTTATATACATGTGTAGCTCCTTCACTTAACAAGATTGAAACAGGAAGTATTATTCTAGAACTACATCTCAGAAAATACAGTGTGTAGGAGGTCTTTACATCCCACTTAAGGAAGCCATGGAAGTCTTGAAACTGTCTATATATAGCTTATCATTTTGGCATAATAGTATATGTCTTGGCCATACGTTATTATTCTGTCCCTTATGATTGAACATTTGGATAGTTTTCTAGGTTTTTCTATAAAGAAAATCATAGTGAACTTCTGGCAAATAAATCTTAATTCCTTAAAGGTCCAGTAGTAGAGTTACTAGGTTAAAAGATACACATTTTTAGAAAAATCAGAATGTATTTTATATTGTCCAGTAGGATGATTATTCCATATTTATTCATAGAACCTTGTTCTTGGCGCCTTTCTGTTGTGCTGAACACCAAGATTAACAGCTGCTTGGGGAGGAGAGGACTCACCTGGCTTGTGCTAGCAGGTGACAGTCAGTCAGTGAGGGAAGGCAGGCAGGAGCTCACGTGAGAACTCAGAAGCTGTGGAGCAGTGCTCTCTCCTGCCTCCTCTCACGTGCATGCTCAGCTGCCTCTCTTAGATGGCCGGGAGAGGACCATTCACAGTGGGCTGCCCCTTCTGTACGGCCAGCTGTCAAGAAGAACTACCTGGGAAGTCCTAATGAGGAATTATGGAGAATGGATTCTTGGGTGGTGAGATGGTTTTGCTGAGGCAAAAACCCCAGAGTGGGCCTGGGGGCATGAGTAGAGAAGACTGCAGGCCTGCTTGCGTCCATTCCTCTGATGCTGTCACTGTGGCTGTCATGTCACTCACTAGCGGCTTAGTGCCTTCCATGGCTCTCCTTGATGGTGGACACAGCCTGGAATTCATTGTTAACCTCAACTGAGTTGCTCATTTGTTGGTATATTTTATCACAGCAGCAAAAATGAGAGTTTTCTTGAATAGTCTTAGTTGGTGTACACACATATAGAAGGAAGGAGGTAACCGGAGTGAGCGAGTGTCTGAGATGTCACGGTGGGTACTGAATCCATGCTTAGCATGAAGGCATCCTAAAGTTAGAGCTGCGTAATTAATTAGGAAGAACCTAATGCTCTTCCTCTAGTTGACTTGTTCTGATGCTTACTAACCTTGCATCTTATACAGGGCTGGGTAAGTCTTGTCCCTGGGGTGCTAGCAGGGACTTGGTTGAGTCTATGTCCCAGAGATTATTTGTTCTTGTTTTCTGGCCCATTGATATTTTTGAGTATATACAGAAAAATCGGAAACCTATAAAATATTGTGTATAGATTTAAGAAGTTTATAGAATTTTAATGCCACCTCTGGATCAAAGCAAGAACCTTTCTGCCAAAGATTTAAAATGCAGCTCAAAGAGAAAAAAAGATAATTTCAAAGGTAGAATCACAGTAGATAGTTCAGTTTTATTTTCAGTTGACCTGTGTTTCTCTTTTTTTTTTTTTCTATAAAAGTACAATATCATGTCATTCATAGGACTATTTTATGGCTTTATAGAGTCAAGTATTATAACAATAATGTCATTCATGTCATTTAGAGTTTTTCACATTTAAGTTTTACTATGATACATATCATTGAAATACTGTCATTTCTGGAGGTTTTGGGAACCTCCAAAAAGAGTTTTTAAGTTACTGTCTTTGGAAATGTTTGTAGGAACCCATGATGCCAATGGACCAGTCATCCATGCATCCAGACCACGCACAAACAGGTGAGTGTGAGTAGGGCTGCTTTCTTTCTTTCTTTCTTTCTTTCTTTCTTTCTTTCTTTCTTTCTT